ACTGGTGTCCCATGTTCTAAGTGTCCCAGCAACAGAAGATGTGACTCGTTCAGGACAGCATTATGTGAAAGTAAATACTTTAGGTACTTAATGTATCCATCTAAAGTTCTCTATATTGTTTTTTCCAATTGTATGAAAAATGTCACTTCATGCACGCTATTTTAAATCCTACACTATTCTGGATGCAAATTTCTGATAAATTAAATCTTATTTCAGCAATATTCTCCTTATATACTGTTGTGTGAAGTGTGTGAAAAGGATTATATTATGCTCAAAATAACGTAAGGGTAAGTTCTTCAGTTTATGTGATCATGAATTTTTTCCATTTCAGGTCCAAATGTCGAAATATCAAACAACACAAGACGAAAAATAACAATAAATGATTGGCTAGGAAAAACAAATAACATTAGCGTCCATATTCCTGATGATGGAGATATTTCGAAAACCTATTTTAATGAAAGCAATGACTTTTCTATGGCTACTAATTCTGAGAACAGAAATAATGTTGAGGATAGAGAAATAACTGATTTGCTGGTGCTTAGGAATTTCTCATTAACTGGTAATAGGAAAAACTTATTTTTTATATAGCATAATGATTACAAAAAAGGGACTTTTTTTGTAGATTTTTATATGTAGATTTTACTCGCTTCAAGGTCGAACCACCATATTTTTCTTTTTCTCATGTGTGTTAAGTGGGAAAGGTACCTTTAAACGAGCCAAGTCTATGTTTTTTAAGTGTTTTCAATTAAACCGATTTTAGGAAATTTTGACATAGATGGAACAGTCTCTGATACACTTCCTTGGGTGTTGAATCTAATGAAATATGATAATCTAAGTTTACTAAATAATGAAAACTATACTAGATTAATGCAAACCTTAAAAGTTGCTCTGTCATCCCACAGAACATATGGTGAGTTAAAATAAGCAGATTATTTTATAGCACTAGGTATTTTGTAGCCATTTTGGACAATTACAGTTACATATATAGATGATATAGCCATTAGTTACTACTGGTAAAATTAACTGCAGGCTGCAGTTCCGCCAAACATAGCTTAACTTAAGATATGATTGTCATATGCCTATTTATTATTGATTTATTAATCTGTTATAGATCTTTAGTCACACATATCACATACTTCTAGAAGTATGTGTCTCAAGTAATCTGACAATTGATGTTGAAGTAAAATCATTCATTATTTTAATCGACAATCTTGCAATCATTATAATGATGTAGGGTGAACCGTCCGGTTATTGACCACGTCCCAGTAAATGACAAATATTTACTGATTTATGATTTATTAAGAATTTTTAATAACCTAAGGCATCATATTATACAACAAATTGATCATCACCTAATTTTCAATTTTTTTATACATTTGACAACACTGCTCGTAATCGGCAGTTTACAAATGTCAGTTAAAAGTGCATGTGTTTTGTTTCCTTCTCAAGTAACCACAAGTAATTAAGGTAAGTAGAGCTAAGTGTTTTTTATTTTGTAAAAAATATGTATTGGAGTTGTGAAACTGTTATGTTATTTGGACTAAACTGCATGAAACAAGATCAAATTTAGTATATTTTAGACTCAAAAAGCATTTATATTTTAAATGGTCAATAATAGGTAATGCTAAAGCTGAGAAATTCAGTGAATGACCGAAGTGGTCATTTACTGGGTTGGCGGGAACGTTAAAATATTTTTTTTTGATAATGTACTTTAATCACTATATGAATGCTTTTTTTATGCAAGCATTGTAAATAATGAGGGAATCGACTGGCCTATAGATGACCACTCTTATTATCTAAATGCTCTTCAGGTCATTCACTGGCTATTTAGCCTAGTCAATGACTTTTTGCTGTTTATGTATTAAAATATTATTTGTGCAATAAAGCAATTGTGTAACATTTATTTTCAGATGACAGAAGCACCCAATAGAGCATATACAAGATTTAAGTATTACATTGCAGATCTAAACGCTGCAGTGACAGAAGTCCAAGAAGGAAGAATTAGTGCTACTAAAGCCAGTAAACAATTTAAAATTCCAAAAGGCACTTTAATTAATAAACTGCATGGAACATCCGATGTTTCAGTAAGAAAGGTGGGCCCATCAAGAATCTTGACTGCTCAGGAAGAAGATATGTTGGAGAATTGAGTTTCCTATGCATCCAGATGAAGTGAAAGATGCCGTACAAAAGGTAATGGAAGAAACCTAGCGTCCTAATCCATTCAACAACAACCGTCTTGGTGATAAATGGCTAAAAGGATTTTTAAAAGTAAAGCTAGATATTGGGAAAAGAAATGCTGAAATTATTTCCAAAGCTAGAGCTAGCGTCACTGAGCAAGATATCAGAAAGTGGTTTCAGGATCTTAAAAGTTATTTAATAGAAGAAGATGCTGTTGATGTTCTTGAAGATGCTGATCGAGTCTATAATGCTGATGAGACTGGAGTGCAATTATGCCCCAAAACAGGAAAGGTGCTAGGGCCAAAACATTTAAAAAAATTTTATGATGTTGCTGTCGGAAAAGAAAAAGAGTGCCTGACTGTATTAGCAAATTTTTCTGCTAGTGGAAAAGTAGCTCCAACACTTATAATATATCCATACAAAAGAATACCTAGAGACATTGCTAACTCTATCCCTGATAATTTTTATATTGGTCGAAGTGGTACAGGTTGGATGGTTGGTCTTACATTTTTTGAGTATGTGGCGAATAATTTCTATCCATGGCTGTTAGATAATAATATAAAATTGCCTGTTCTCTTTCTGCTAGACGGACATAAGTCACATATCAGTCCTGAACTAGCCACTTTTTGCCAAGTAAAAAGAATTATTTCATATTGTCTATTACCAAATGCTACAAACATATTACAGCCATGTGATGTTGGTATCTTTAGACCTCTAAAAGTATCCTGGAGGAAGCAGTGTCAGAAATATAAACAAGAAAATCTCTAACCAAAGTATCTTTTGTACCTATTTTTGCACAAGCATTTAAAAATGCCAGTAAAATTGAAACCATACAAAACGCCTTCAGGGCATGTGGCATATTTCCATTTAATACAAATAATGTTGATTTTTCAAAATGTATGAATACTCGTCAGGCAGCACAAAAAGAAGATAACAATAATGTAGAGAGTAATCAGAGTGGAATTGATAAAACGAAATTTTTAAAAATTCTTGAAAGTTAAATTTCCCCAGAGACCTTAAAAACATACAGAGAAGGGAGAAAAGCACAAAAAGTTTTAAATAATGATAAATTATTTAAATTATGGAAAAAATATGCAGAAAATCAAGACAACCCCAATAAAGAAAATGTCGAGAATTATATTGAATTAGAAGACAACGAGAAAATATGCAAAATAATGTTCTAATAATGATGGACACAGAAACTGATGATTATCAGGAAGTTGAAGAAATTAGAAATGTAGATGATATAAATAAAGAAAATCAAGAAAATGCCCCGGAGATTACCCAAAAAAATGAAAATATATGTGAACAAATTGAGGAAGAAATGGAACATGTAGAAAACCAAGACAATACTCAAAATGCATCCAAATTGAAAATCAAAATGAGTCAAAAGAAACACAATTGGATTTAAATTTTAGCCTTAGATTAATTATCTAAGATTTTAGCTCAAAAAAATCTCTTAAAGTCCAAGATTCCTGGAAGGAACACTTACACTTTCCAAAGTTGGAAATTGCCACTAAAAAGTGTTAAAGAAAACGCCCCTTTGGCAATAACTTCCAAATATTGGAAAGAATATCATGAGAAGAAAGAAGAATTAAAAGAGCAAAGAAAAAAGTTAGAGAGAAAAAAAAACGTAGACGTGAATAATTAAACAAAAATAAAGAAAATAGACCAAAAAATTAAAGAGAAGAGAATCTTCTTCAATTATTTTCACGGTGTTGTTATACGAAAACAAAGAGGAGAACATGAAGTGCGAGTCATGTGTAAAAGGCACAAAATTGGAAATGGCCAGAAAAAATGACCAAATATGGTATAAAAGAAGAGGATGTCATTAAAAAGATTGAACCACCAATGCTGATATTTAGTCGAGGAAATGTGTATTCAGTTCCTGAAATGGAAAAGTATGAAACACTGCTTTAATTTTTTTAAACTAAGTATTTATGTTTTCTTTTAGACAATAAAGTAGTTTTGTAGTCATTTACTGGTATTTTATTTGGTCATTTACTCAAAGGAACTGGTCATTTACTCAAAGGAACTGGTCATTTACTAGGATTTTGTGCATTATATCTTAAAAATTATCGAATATTTTAAACAAATAAACATGTTTACATTTTTATGTTAAAAAAGTTAAATTAGTAAAAAAATTCATCCAGCTATTCCTTGCTTTTTCTTTTAAAAACAAAACGAACATTTTTACAAATATGTATATATCACTGTTGCCTAAAGTGGTCATTAACTGGACGGTTCACCCTAACTCTTAGTTTTTCTCAATTTTTTGAGGTGGTTCTCCTACAAAATATGGAGTAATCAAAAAAATGTTTCTAGAGTACTCCATAAGCCATTAAAACAATCACGTATGTCAGAATTTACAATTCTTATTTCTAAAAAGATAATTTAGAATGTTTTCAATAGGGTGTGCAATCACATGACTCTATCTCTCTTTAGAAACATTTTTTTGTGAATCATACGTTAACAAAATCTAAAGTTGTTCAATCAAATTTTATTTTAGAATTAAAAACTAATTTAAACCAGCAACCATCAAAAGATAAGTCGATTAAGAAAAATCGTGCTAAAAGGGCAATAGGTAAATGGTATAATGGACATTGCCATTGTGACAAGATCATAAGAGATGGAGCTGCCAATTCTGATTTAGGACTATTTCGGTTATCTGTACTCTATGTTATTACTATTCTAGTTTTAATTTTTTTCTAATAAAGGATTTAAATATTAAACTTAATTATTATTATCAACAAATATAATTTTATTAATAATTAATGAATTGGTATAATTACATAAAAATCTATTAACAAAATCATTATGCCCTACACTATCTGATTAAAATAATAACTATATATTTGTTTACAGCACATCCAGTCAAAAAAAGGACAAGATTCCAAATAACAGGTAAATATATTAATACCTACTGCGATTATTATAGTAGTTTAATTATAAAATCATGTGTATGCTTATCCCTTGTGTCAAGAAGCTTCTTTTAACTCCACCATAGTTTTTCTTACCTCCTCCAAATTCTCCAGCAAAACATTAAGCAAGTGTGGAGTAACAGTCACTTGTTGAATTTCTCCATCAATTTTTAGATCTAGAATGGCACACTTCAACTCCTGATCTACAGAAGCACTAAAATGTTCCAAAGCATTGACCCTAAGACTAGCTTGCCTGAATTTTTCAGTTAGAGCGCCCACTTGATCGTCTATAACTCTTTTCAAGGATGTACTGTGCTCTCTAGGTAGTCCTAATTGCTGTAATTCATTTTGTAAAGCATTACTATCACAGTTAAATCTAGTCGCTGAAGTTAGTATGTAACTAATACAAGCTATACATGCTTTTAAATCAATATCGGCATCTAATTTCGATTCTGAAAATAATTTTTCGGCCTTCTGTATGTCTATCGGAGGATTTATTAAGCCCTGTGTAACTGTTTGAGCTAATAACTTCAATTTAATGGATGATAATCTTGAAAGTGTATTTATTTCGACAAGGACCCAGTCTGGGCAATCTGCTTCGCCACAAAATCTGAACTTCATGATTCTTTATCAATATTAAAAAAAAAAAAAATTAGATTCGATTTTTCTTGTAGAATATGAAGAACCCGCCACTGTTCAAGATAAGCACTCTTTGCCTCAAGATGGAGATGACTGTATTTGTTTATTCAAATAAATGCTTAGGATATTAAAGATGTACCACAAAATACATTTTATTTTAATTGTAACCCGTGCTGTTGCTGTGATAAAAAAGAAAAAGTGTAAACCATGGAGGAAGGATTGTGTAAACTCAAAAACGAGAATCTGCCCCTATCTCCCCTATAATAATAAAAACAGTTGGCTGTATTCATATTTAAGCAAAGTTCAACTTCCATCCATCTGCAGTTTCCTGCCACAGCGTACTAGGCACGGTGGCTGTATATAAAAATAGTTGGAGGCGAAAATACCAAAGAAGAATTTGCTGCAAAATGTTAAAAAACGTGATTTATTTATTTATCGTGTGCTAAGGGCAAGGATAAGGGATATCTTTAGACCATGTCATGTAGAAGTTTTATTTTAGTTGAACATTTTACATTTTTTGAAGAACCACCGACCTTGATATTAAACTGGATAACTTTGTGACATAAACCCTACTTCTAATTTCTAAGCCGACATAGTTGGAAAAAACGGTCGGTGCGCATGACAATTTTGACGCCAGACTGTCAATTCGAGCATTCTATGTCATGTTTCTCACGGGCGTACTACGTTAAGTTATATTATTTTTTATTAATAACGCACTATATTTTAATAATTATCACAGGCCCGCAAAAATTTTGTGATCTAGCCATTTTATTTTTTTTTCACCTATTTACAAGTTTTATATAGCTAAAATAACCTCCTTTTTATTCTATCACGTAAACTTTTTTTGTAAACTAGTATCAAGGGTATTATCCCTGAACATCACAAACAAATTAATTTGAATTCCTTATTTTTGTTCAAAACGTTGAGACGCATTAAAACCTCATTTTAATTTGCGCATTTGTAGGGGGATTTACCGGTACTTACTAAAATATTGTTGGGGATTCCCCGAGACTCGATTTATTCAGGAAAGAGGCCAAAGAGGGCGATATATTTAATATCCCCGTGGTATTGTGACACGCGTTGTCTATCGAATTCTATCGGTGTTTCATTGTGCACTTTCTATTAAAAAAATGTCTAGTAGGTGTAAAAATAGGCCTGATGACTTTTGTTATATTTGTGGACACTTTATAGTAAAGAAGTTTAAAAGAAACATTACTGATTTCGTAAAAATGCATATTTTGCATATTTTAAAGTCAGACTTGGAGATCAAGATAAACATGGGCGCCACATGTTATCTGCAAGATTTGCGAAGAAGCCTTGAAGCATTGGTTTAAAGGAACAAGAAAAGCCCTACCGTTTGGAATACCAATGGTCTGGAGAGAACCTAAAAATCACATTGACGACTGCTATTTTTGTCTTTGTGATATTAAAGCTCATAACACAAAATCTCTAAAGTATATTAACTATCCTAATCTTTCGTCTGCAATAAGAGACCAGTTCCACATGACGCTGATATACCTGTACCTGTTTCACCTAAAGTATTACAGTCTATCGAAACAGAATTAATCTTCAACAGATTCAGAAATTGAAATTTTTGAGCCATCTACCTCAGGAATCCGTGAACCGCAGCTATTTTCTCAAGTAGAACTGAATGACTTAGTCAGGGATTTGGGACTTCCTTAAGACCTCTCTGAGGTTTTAGAATCAAGGCTTAAAGAAAAAAAATACTTGCTCCAGGTACTACATTTTATTGGTATAAAAATCGTGAGGCTGAATTTGTCAATTACTTTGCCGCAGCTGGTTCACTTGTATATTGTCAAAATGTATCTGATTTGGTTATTCACCTAGGTGCTCCTGAATAAAATCCTGCCGAGTGGAGTCTTTTTATAGACTCTTCAAAGAGAAGTCTTAAAGCTGTTCTACTTCATAATGGCAATTTATATGCATCTGTTCCTGTTGGTCATTCTACTCAGCTAAAAGAAAATTACGAAAATATTGAGGTACTGCTTTCTAGAATAAACTACAGACAACATAACTGGATTCTATGTGGTGACCTTAAAATTTTAGGTTTGCTTTTAGGTCAACAATCCGGATATACGAAATACCCATGTTTCCTATGTGAGTGGGACAGTAGAGCAAGGGATAACCACTGGACAAAAAAAAACTGACCACCAAGAAAAAATTTAACGCCTGGCTCCAAAAACGTAATTCGGGAAAGCCTAGTTGATCCTGAGAAAATTTTATTACCCCCTCTATATATAAAATTGGTGCTGATGAAACAATTTGTCAAAGCTCTAGACAAAAATGGTGGTTGCTTTAAGTACTTGTGTGAAACATTTCTGGGTCTCTCTGAAGCTAAATTAAAAGAAGGCATCTTTGTTGGGCCACAAATAAGAAGGTTGATGAAAACTAATGAAATTGAGACGGTTATGCAGGAAGACGAAAAAGAAGCATGGACAGCTTTTAAACAAGTTATAAATAAGTTTCTAGAAAACTACAAAGACCCTGAATTTGAAAGTACTGTTGAACACGTGTTGGACAAATTTAGAAAGTTAGGCTGTAACATGAGCTTAAAAATTCATTTTCTACATGCCCATCTTGACTATTTTCCGGATAATCTTGGCGATGTCAGTGAAGAGCCAGGAGAGCGCTTTCACCAGGACATAAAAGAGATGGAACGGCGATATCAATAAGGGCGCTAGGATATGAAAATGATGGCCGACTACTCTTGGATGCTTAAAAGGGACCGTCCTACCGCAGAATATGCAAGAAAAACAACAAAAAGAAGCTTTTCCGGAAAGAGAGAAATATTTTTCAAGAAAACAAAGGATTAATGTAGGTTATTTTTTAACTACCTCCCCTGTTTTATTGTTTGTTTTCTTGGTTTACTATTTTCTTTTTTATCCTAAGTATCTATAAATATATTTTTACTTTTTGCATTCTTGTAGTATTTTGTTTAAAAACCTTACGTGATAGAAAAAAAACTAAAGGCAGATTTGAAATCAGCGTCACTGAAATACCCAATTTCACATTTTACAGAGTATTTAAACGCAGGCCTGTGTTATTATTATTGGAACATTTACTTCAGCTGCGTATTAATCAAAAATCATTTTAAGTGATTTTGTTAAATTAAAAGGTGTCGTAGTTGAATCTAAAAAGTGTTAAATTTAATTTTGATGTTCCTTTTTAGTGCATTTCGATACGCACGTGTGGGCGCCAAAGTGTCAAATATCGCCTCGCTATGCGGCTTGATTTTGTTGATCGGCTTCGTACTTCGTTTTATATGTGTGAAGAACCGAAACCGAGAACAAAACATTCTTTTTTAGTTTATGATCTCCTTTTCATGAGAAATACAGACATTCTAATTATAAAATGAGTATAATGATAAAAAAACGAAGAAATTAAAATGTCAAAAACATCTGATTTTTGTCAATAGATGTCACTATTACGTCACGGACATGAAAATCGAGAGAATGCAATTTTCAAATTATTACGTAAATCTAAATACTAATAAATTTTGTTGAATGGTATGATTATCTTTTTCGTAATGGGTACTTAATTAGAAATGTTTCCAATTATCAGAAAAGTGAGTCACTGATTATATTTTATTCAAGTATTTAATTTCAATTTTTTTAGATTCATAATGTTAAAATTGGGTACAGTACTAAAAAATATTTATTTTACAAATGAAAAATGCACCGCACATTTAATTCACAAAGTACATTTTTCCCTAAGAGTAGATCATGAATTGCCGGATGAAGGACCCATAAGAACTTTAGAGGACAAAATTAAATCGAAGGAATTACAACCAGATGCAATTCAAACTGAAGTAACAATACAATTACAGAAACTTTATAATGATATTAGAGGCTATGAACCTATACGGAAACATATTTTTAGTCAATTTTTTAAAAGTAAAAAAAAGGTACCAAAGGGTTTGTACATATACGGAGCCGTTGGTGGTGGTAAGACCATGTTGATGGATTTGTTTTATAATACTTGTAATATAGAAAGAAAAACTAGAGTTCACTTCAATTCTTTTATGATTGAAGTTCATAAAAATATGCACGAATTGAAACAAGAAATAGTTATTGATTACAACCAAAGAAAACCAAAACCATTCGACCCAATACCACCTGTAGCTGAAAAAATTATAGAAAAATCATGGTTAATTTGCTTTGATGAGTTCCAGGTATGAATATAACATTTTATTTATTATTTCTGTTAATATTTTGTAAGGAGAATTTATTATTTTAAATATTCCATTTCATTAATTTTTATTGAACAATGGGGCCTTAAAAAATTCCATTTACTGTATGCAGATACAAAAATAAAGTTTTTTTTTAAACATAATATTCACACAACTCTACAAAAACTATAAGCAGAAGGTGGTATAGTTCTCTTAATCCCATCATTACATAATTTATTGGAGTCTACTTATTATTAATTGCCCTTATTTTTTACCCATTTTATTGCTACATGTTAAGTTCTATTTGGAATGGTAGGGAATTTTGGATACATAGGTACTAATTCTCATCCCTATACTGTACAGCATTCATTTCTTCAATTTTGACACATCGCAGTGGTGTAATTATGTCCAATTAGTTTCATACAGGTTGATTGTACAGCTGACAAAATGTAAACGATTTCAGGTAACAGATATTGCAGATGCTATGATTCTCAAGAGACTGTTCACCCATTTATTTGATAATGGCGCTGTAGTGGTAGCGACTAGTAACAGGCCACCTGAAGATTTATACAAAAACGGCTTACAACGATCGAATTTTGTACCTTTTATTGATATATTAAAGAGCCGTTGCGAACTAGCAAATTTAGATTCGGGTGTTGATTACAGATTAAGAACCATAGGAGCAAAAACGAACTACTTCGAAAAAGACAAACATAAATTGGACCCAATAACACCGATTTTTAAAGTTTTGACTGCCAAAGAAAATGATGTAGTTCGTAGTAAGACTTTTACTATTATGGGACGAGATGTTCATTTTAGGTAAATAGAAATATTCAAATATCTTTTTTTCAACCTCTTTCTTTATATTTACATTTTTCAAAGCCTCAAAATGACTCTGAGGACCAATAACCAAAGAAGAACCTACTTTTATCTATTATGTAATTTATTTATTTCTCAATTAATTAAATGTTATGTGTGGTCAAGGACTAGACAAAACAAATTCTAAATTTTTTTGTAATACTGTTGAGAACCTCAAAGTACTGTTAATAGTTCAAATGTTAATGTATTGATTTTCTAGAAGGTTATCAACTATTTTAAATTCTTGATAATTCAGTTGATACAATTCAATGTTTACATATTGGATTACTAAACTTCAATTTGCATTGGAAATTATTGAAATATTTTGTGAATTTAATTAAAAATGAAAACAATGATTCAAACATTCTTTAAATAGCATGGAATAATAGTAATAACAGTGGTGGCTCATCCTATATGAAGCAGTGCATCAGAAAATAACATGACCTTGATTAATATTCTGCTATTTTTGTTGTTGCTGATTCTACATAATTTTGGCATTACTAATCAATTGATTAAAGCCCTCTAGCTAAAGCTCTTGGGCTCTAATCAGATTATTAATGCCAAAAATTATGTCTCATCAAATTGATATTAAAATATTCTCTATATTTAGATTCAACAAAAATAGCTGGCTATTATCAAGGTCTTGGTATATTACCCTTGATTAATGAATTATATTATTATTAACTCACTAAAATATTTAACAACCAATTTTTATCCACCAGTTCTACTAGTATTAGGTCAAACTAAATAATTTAATAAAAACGTTTTTATTTTTTTTTCTTGTGTACTCAGTATTTCGACAAAATTGTTTTATTTATAAAATGAAAAACGCTTTTGGTTTAACACCATCTTCAGTGCTTATTGTCTGCCACAAGGGCATCCAAAAAGTTTAAAGCTATATACAAACATTAATTGTTGAGAGTATCCCACCTTGCTAAATAGTCATAATAATTTTCTTTGAATTATTTTGGTTTATTATATAAATTAAAAGTTTTTTGACTAATTTATGTAAGCCATTTTATATCTAATGACTTAGTTCTCCCATTTTTCGGGTGGCTAGTAAGAAATTTGGGGACACCATATTACTCATTAGTGGTTGTAACTCGTTGGAATAAAGACAAATTGATTGAGTTTTTTAATTTTGTTATCCATAGACCAAATTTTAATAACAAGACTATTAGAGTAGCAGTCGATTTAAAAGATTTTCTTGAAGATTTTTGTAAATTTTTTCTATTATGTTTTGTCGATTATTTATTATTTTTTTTTTCACGGACCTTGCCCACTTTCAGTACAAAGTTACAAATAAAAACAAAAAAATCTCAAATAGAGTCAATCTAAATAATGATAAACTAATAAACTAACAACAAAAATCATAAATATATTAACATGTACAAAATCAAAACAACTAATATTAAGACTAGGGAATTTAAGTCACAGTAAGTTTTAACACCCTCACAAAATTAGCTTGAATTAAAAAATTCTAGACTATCAGCTCAAGCATTAGCGCTTCGTGAAACTCTAGGCATGAATGAATTGAGGCCAGTATTAGTTCTCATGTAGGGCTGATGAAAACTGTTTATTGATCTTGTGCTTCTAGTTGGGGCTGCCAACAATATGCTTAAAAAGAATGTAGGACAGTCAACCATATAATTATTAATGAGCTTAAAAAATAATTTCAAATCTGCCTGATCTCTTCTTATTCCCAAAGTTGGTAAGGAGAATGTCTTGCAGTGCCGCAAAATCATAGGAATAGTCATCTATCCGTGGAATATTTGATTTAAATGCTAAGTAGCGAAGCAATTTTCTTTGAACCTGTTCTAATCTATGAATGTGACAAGTATACTGGAGGTTCCAGACTGAAGAGCAATATTCTAGCAGAGGTCTAACAATACTACAGTACAATAACCTGATAGCATTAATACTTGTAAAGTCTAATGTGTTTCTCTTTATAAACCCAAGCATACCAAGTGCTCTGGATACAATGTAATTGACAAATGAGAGCGTAGAGTCCATAATAACACCCAGATCTCGAATGGATGCCACTTGGGACACTGGTGTACCCTTGATATTATATTGATAATCAATCCTGCAGATCTTCCTAGTAAAGGATATCGAGTGACACTTAGTGATGTTTAGGATCAAAGCATTATTTGCACACCACTCATCAAGGCTAGCCCAGATCAGACTGAAGTTTGAGACAATACTCAAGAGATGAAACTGCTAGGTAGCAGATGGATTGGGAATGTTTTTAGATCCGTAATTATTCAATTTAACAGTTTGGAATCTTTCAGATAAATAACTCGCCAGCCATTGCAATAATGTTCCCATGATCCCAGCAGTCTCCAGTTTATTTAACAAAAGTTTGTGATTTACCCTATCGAACGCCTTGGAAAAGTCTGTGTATATGGCATGCACCTCACCACCTCCATCCAAAACGTCCGACAGATAGTCAACAAAAGCAAGTAAATTCAGTTCTGTAGATTTTTTGTTAAGAAACCCAAATTGTTCTTCTTTTATTGATAAACTTAATTTAGATCTTAAGTAATCAGCTACTATCTTTTCAAACAACTTTGGAATGGAACTAAGATTACAGATGGGTTTATAGTTTGATATGTCTGGTCTGTTACTAGACTTGAAAATAGGTGTAAGATAGCTCACTTTCCAGAAATCTGGGAATATGTCTGAAGCAAGAAACTTATTAAATATAACCTGAAGTGGCCGCAAGAGAACAAAACTACAAAATCTGAGAAAACAGGGACCAGGACCATCAGGTCCTGGTCCCTTAGTAATGTCAATACTAGCCATCTCTTCATAAATGGTTGATATATGAATAACATACTAAGATATAGAAATGTGATTAAGTGACGGTTTACTTTGAGGATCAATATTCTTATTAGTATATACTGACTGAAAGTATTCTGGAAAAAGATCAGGTAAATTTGGTCCCAAATGACATTGACTATCATTAAAGAATAGCAATGGTGGTAAATCATTTCCGTTCTGCTTACTCTTAACAAAATTCCAAAACTGTTTTACGTTTCTATGGTCTATTAAAGAAGACTCAGAATTTACAATAAACTGTTGATTGCACCTTTTTGATAACATTTTACAATCAGAACGTAATTTACTATGGTTAACATAATCGCTTTGTAATCCTGAACTTTTAAATTTTTTGTGAGCTTGTTTTTTCAATATTGTCAGCAGCTTTTAAAAATAGAGAATATCATAAAAAATATTAACCATATCATTCCCTGAGTGATGTAATAATAAGTCATCCCAATTTACCTGACCTAAACAATCGTTCAACAGAGCTAAATCAGCAGACCTAAAATCATAATAAAAAATGTCTTTCTGGGGGCCGCTCACATTAGAATGATTCAAAGAGTTCACAATCTGGAAGCTCAAAGGAGGATGGTAACCATCAGCTGGAACCAATGCTTCATCGCTCAAGGTCACTATAGTGTTTCCATCTGTAGATAATATAAGATCTAGTATTCTATCAGTGTTATTAGGAACTTTATTCACCTGATATAAATTGTGAAATGCACAGGTATCACCCATTAAGGTGACCACATCTCTCATATGATTTTGTCACCCCACTGTCACTAGGTACTGAGCAGTATTCCTCGGTTGACCAAGAGCAATATGGCATTTTGGGGTCTCCACAAAGCCAAACAGATCCTTTATGATTTTCAATAATGATATGTTGAACTGAAACACTGGTACTTATTTATTGGAGAGCGAGGTGGTATATAGACTGCAGCGATGATTATTGCATCAGAACCTGATCCAATTTTAATAAAAAGTTGTTCGATATCACTAGGGGTGTCTAGCATGGAGCTAATGAGAGTCTTCAATACAGCGATGAGCACACCACCACCTCTTAAAGCATTACTTGTATTTTGGCTTCTATCACACCAGTAAATATTATAATCGAACAATCCTCGCCATCACTGATATCACTGGTCAGCCATGTTTCAGTCAATATGATTGCAGAGACATTTGATTGAAAAACATTTAATTTAGTTCTTAGTCCACGTATATTCTGATAAAAAGCATCAATGTTATGTTTTGAGTTAAACTTGGGTTTATTTGCACCAGGAGAAGGCTCTACTTTGAGTTTTTTTCTTGCATTAGACGTAGAATTCGATTATGATATCTAATGACTACATTCTCTCCATTATCTTTGCGGGTTTTTAGCTCAGCCTGTACAGACTTATACCTTTCTCTTTTTTTGGAGGTTAGATCAAAATTAACAAAAATCCTGTTTTTCTTGAGATTGTAGCCATTTTTTATCAGGTTCTCAACCCCAGCTGCGGAATTAAGAGTCACTCTTAAAACTCGATTATTTTTCTTCGGTTTACCCATTCTTAAAACCTCTACGATTTCAGGTGGATTCTTAGACAGTATTTTGAAAACATTCCTGGTTTCCTCATCATCATTGCCCTCTGGTACATTAAATAACATTATATTATTGGCTCGTTTTTGACGCGCTTGCAAACACAATATATCAGTCTCAGCAAAATTTTGTGCTGGCTCGTTGTTAGCTAATTGTTAGCTGTTATTGGTGCAGCCGGTGCTTTGTGCAGATTGCCAATCTCACGACAAAGTTGATCAACAGCCTATATTAATTCAGGCACCACTTTAAAGCCTTTCTCACAATCCTCACAAAAAAAATTTAGTTGGCGGGTACCTTTCAGTTCCATTACTTTAATCTCCAAAGCATTAAGCCCAGAGCAAGACTTTTTATGAAAAAATCTTTTGCAACTGTCACATGCAAGAATATCGTTTGCAGACAAGTCTAAATCGCACTCACTACATTTTAAGTCAGACAATTTAGGTTAAAATTTATTTATATTTCAACAAACTGTTAGTCTTTTCTATTTTACAAAATAAATACATAGACATGGTTAAGGCATGGGCAAGGCAATCATGCGAAATCAGAAGTGATGTCCATTTTGAAAAAAATTGATATTAATGATGAATTTCAATAATGTCATGAATTTCTCTTATTTTTAAAAAGATATGTTATTTATTTTAAAAGTGCTTCATCATATTTGAAGTCAGAATTTATTTTAAATTTTTGTTTAAAATGCATTTTATTTATTTTGCAGAATATAAGTTAAGTTTATTTGTTACTACATGTGTCCTAGATAAGACTTCTCTACACGACCAGTTTATTCTCATTTAGTTTTTTAGAAATAAAAGTAATCTATAACCCCCTGTCTCATCATCTCGTGAGGTCACGAGTCGCCACTGACTTAATAGTTATACACGGTGGATTAGTATAATAATAGCATAACAAATTAATTTGTTTCACTGATTTTTAGGAAAGTATGTGGGGGCGTATTAGAAACTTCATTTGAAGAACTTTGTGATAGACCCCTCGGAGCTAACGATTATCTGCACTTAACGCAATTTTTCCACACTATTATTATACGAGATGTACCAAGAATTAATATAAATCGTATGCGGTCTGAAGCCAGACGTTTTATCACTCTTATAGACGCCTTGTATGACAATAAAACTAAGGTAAAAATATTGTCAATTTTAAACCATCACCCTAAATTAATATCAGTTTTTCTTTAGGTTATTATTATGGCAGACGCTCCGATCAAGGAATTATTTGTAGTCCCTACTAATTCGTCTGGAATCTCGGACGAGGATAGGATGCTCATGGACGACTTGAAGATGGGCGAAAAGGATTTGACGGCGAACATATTTAGTGGACACGAAGAAATATTCGCCTTTGACAGGACGGTGTCGAGGCTTAGCGAAATGCAAAGTGAAGATTATTGGGGCAAACAGAAGTGTACTTAAATTTTTGAGCGATTAGTTTTTAAAAATAAAGTTGTTGATAATTTTATTGATTATTCCTGTAGGGATTTACGCGGGAAGGGTTTAAAAATGTTTTTCTTTTATTCTACCAGAATAATATTTAATTTTTATCAAGGCTAATAATTAAAATTGCGGCGCAAAGTTTAATTTAGTATTTATTTTTCATATCGTACCTGCATTGCAACAAAATAAATATTAACACCCTTTGTACAACTTTATATTGCCATCATGTTATATCAGTATTTTGATTGTTAATTTATTTTTAATAAATTATTTTTTTTAATACCTACTGTAGCTTTACTAAACAATCAATGTAACATGTAACTCTCCTAGAAGGTGCAAAATAGGTCATGAACAAATCTAGGTCATCGACTCCTAATTAGCCGTAATAAAAAAATTTATGTATACAGGGTGTCCTAAAATTGTCCCTTGCTGAACACTCTTACTCATAGTTACCTATGCTAACTCGTAATTTCTAGAGGGAGGACAACGGACATTTTCCCTATTCAATTTTCAGAAAAGTATTAATATACGGGAATCAATTTAAAGAAAATTAGAATATGAACTTTGAAATGACGCCATTTTGGTTTTTTATTACCGTATTTAAGTCTTTAGTGAAAACCACATCAGGATATCTTAATCTGTTTGGAAACTACAAGTCCTAAAAATGTGGAAAAATATAGTGAGACACCCGGTACTTACGGAATGCGAAACGGTGGAAATAAGCCTTAATGTACCATATACAGTTTCCAACTTGGTACTTACAGAATGAGCAGGTGCTTAAATAAGTTAAATAAAGACGGAGATTCGCAAAGTTAATCAAACAGTGCAAAAGAAACATGGATAACATGTAATTACTTTATATGGAACGGCCTGCAGTCTCAGCCAAGTTATTCAAGGAAATAAATGAATGCTATTTAAACAACGCCGGTGACTAACATGTGTTAGCAACCCCGTAAGAGACGCCGCTGGAATATCTAGTACTATGACTCATTAGGCGATAAGTCGAAATCACCAGAAATTATATAAGCGTTTTATTTAGATATAGGGCATTATTGTGCGAATCATTATACAGTTTAGTCGAATATAATAAATAGTGAAGTTAACTAGTCGAGTTTAGTGTTACAACCCTCTCCTAACATCAGAAGTGGTTCGACTCGCCCTGAAATGGGTAGAAAAAGAACGTATTCTTCTTCGAGCAGTTTTAGTTCCTCGAGTTCTACTAGTTCTTCGTCCAGTTCAAGTGCTTCTAGATTAAATAAGAGACGCAAGAAAAGTAAACAAAAAAAGAATTTAAAAGTACCTAAAAACAAGGCGGGGGTAAGTCAAGTCTCATTATCCTTATTATCGGAAAAACATGTTATATCTAATGCAGTACCCGAATTTAACCCGTTATCAGATAATATCGGCTGTTGGATTGAAATTATAGAGCATAATGTAAAATTATTTAATTGGGCCGAACACCAGACTATCCATCAAGTTGTGAATAAGTTACAGGGTACAGCAAAAATTTGGTATGAAAATTTAATCGCCAACGACAAGCAATGGCCTAGTTATAGTTGGTCCGATTGGAAAAACAAATTGATGGAGACATTTCATTCTAGAAGAGATATGTACACACTTTTAATTGAATTAGCAAATCATAAGCCTTCAGATGGATGTTCTTTATATGAATTTTTCTTTACACACTTAGCAAAAATTGATAATTTAAAACTAAATTTTTCAATCGAAGATAAAATTTCATTAGTTTTGGGTGCTATAAATGATAAAAAAATTACTTCAGCAGCAGAAGCTGCAAATATCAATGATTTAAACATCTTAGGGTCTTATTTGCGAAACAAAGTTTATTGTAAGATTTCAGAAAAACCACAAAAATATACTGAAGTTTCGAATAACAATTATTATAGTAAACCTGTTGCTAGTACCAGTAAAGATTTTGGCCGTAGGGATATTTTTGACAAATTTAAAAAAGTAAATTACGAAAGACAAAGGAATTTTTCAACGGTGAATCATAAAATTATTATTTGTCATAGATGTGGTATAACGGGACAACATATTAGTGATAATTGTCCTCACCGACACAAAATTTGTAACAATTGTAAAATAAAAGGTCATATTGGCAGAGCTTGTAAATCTGCTGTAAAAAAAGAAAAAAATAATGAAAAACAAATAAATTTAACAAAAACTGAAAACGTTAACATGATAACTAACAAAGAGGCAAAAAAATTTTTCAAACCGGTTCTTATTAATAATCAAGTTATGCAAGCGTTTATAGACTTAGGAAGTGATTGTTCATTGATTGAGAAAAATTTAGCAATTCGACTTAAAATACAAGTTAAAAACTTACAGGAAAAAGTGCGTCTTACGGGGTTCAATGGTGACGTAACCGAAGTGAATGAATATGTCGAAACTGAAGTAACTATGGAAGGGTGTAAATTAAATATTTTATTATATGTTACAGTTAATACTTTAAAAAATACTGAAATTTTAGTAGGACGTAATTTTACGGAAAATCCAAAAATTTCTTATTATCGTATTGGTAATGAATTAACTTTTAAATATTCAGATAATTTACAACTTTTTCAACTTGAAGTTAATCACGGGGACTTAAATAAAATAGATAAAATGAAATTATATAATATTATTGAAACATTTCACAGTTGTTTATATTCCTCTATGGAAAAATTGGGCAAAGCACATTCGGTAATAATGAAAATAGAGACTACTACATCCAAACCAGTTACATTTAGACCTTATAGGTTATCACAGTCAGATAAGGATATCATGAAAAAACAAGTTGGTGAGTTACTTTCCGCCAATATAATAAAAAAAAAGTAGCTCAGAATATGCTAGTCCAGCTTTATTAGTAAATAAAAAAGGAGGGGATAAAAGGCTAGTTATTGATTATAGGGCTTTAAATAAAATAACAGAAAAAATTAAATTTCCACTACCAGTTATAGAAGACCTTATTGATTCACTTGGAGGCTATACATATTTTTCGACAATGGATTTAGCGTCGGGTTACCATCAAATACCATTGCACCCCGATTACACACACAAAACAGCATTTGTAACTCCAGAGGGACATTACGAATACTTAAGAGTACCCTTTGGGTTATGTAATGCCCCTGCGGAGTTTCAGAGAATGATGTCTGAAATTTTTGAACCTCTTCGAAATGTCGGTATCACTCCTTACCTGGACGATATTATTATTCCATCTAACACAATAAGCGAGGGTATAGAAAAATTGCAAAAAGTTTTCCAGATCATTGAAGAACATGGTCTAACTGTTAAATTATCAAAATCTCAATTTTTTCAAACTAAAATAACGTACCTAGGATATGTAATTAGCAATAATAATGTTTCTATTAGTGAAGAAAAAACAGTTGCTGTTAAAAATTTCCCTATGCCAAAGACTATTCACCAGGTAAGACAGTTTCTAGGGCTTACTGGTTATTTCAGAAAATTTATTAAAAATTACGCTTCTATAAAACTAGTATATTAACAGATTTATTGAAAAAGGATTCGAAATGGAATTGGACTCAGAATCATACAGAACTGGTAAACCATCTGAAGGAAATGATTTGCTCAGTTCCCATTCTAGCCATATTCAGTCCAAATTTAGAAACACGTGTATATACAGACGCTAGCCAAGAAGGAATTGGAGGCATAATTATTCAACTCAATGGAGCAGAAGAAAAACCAGTAGCTTATTAAAGCAAGAAAACTTCTCCTGACGAAAGAAAGTTTCACTCATTTGAATTAGAACTACTTGCCATTGTAAGAACTTTAGAACGATTTCGACACTATCTTTTGGGGATTCCGTTTACTATTTTCACTGATTGCAATGCCGTTAAAAATGCCATGTCAAAGCAAACAATTATTCCCAGAATCGCAAGATGGCTACTGTCACTACAAGAATATAATTTTAATATACAACACAAACAAGGAAAGATGATGCAGCACGTTGATGCCTTGAGTCGTAATCCAGAAATAACACAGGAGGAATGTGAACTAAGTATAAAACTAATAAATGAAGAAGACTGGTTGAAAGAAGCCCAAGAACAGGATAATAATATTAAAGAAATAAAAGAAATATTATTATCTGGTGACATGCAAAACAACAAAAAAATCTTTAAAGAATTTGATTTACGTGGAAATAGAGTTTTCAGATTAACAGAAAGAGGTCGACGTTGGATGGTCCCAAAGAAATGTAGATGGCAGGTGGTAAAGCTGAATCATGATGATGTTGGTCATTTTGCGTTAGAAAAAACAGTAGAACGGATTAAACAAAGATATTGGTTCCCTAAAATGAAACATTTTGTTCGAAAGTATATCAAATCATGTCTTAACTGTTTATATCACAAATCGGCAGGAGGAAAGAAACCAGGTTATCTTCATCCTATTCCAAAGTATGCCAAACCGTTTCATACCTTACATATTGACCACCTTGGACCCTTCGTGGAAAGCAGTAAGAAAAATAGCCACCTATTAGTAGTTGTTGATGCATTTACAAAATTTGTGTTTCCCAGAGCAGTTCCGGATACTAAAGCTGTTAATGTAATAAAACAATTGTCAGAAATATTTTCTATTTTTGGCAATCCGAAAAGAATAGTAGCCGACGCTGGAACAGCTTTTACATCAAATGAATTCAATAAATTTTGTGAAAATAGAGGCATTCGGCTTCACATAACAGCAGTTGGTATGCCCAGAGGTAACGGACAAGTAGAACGAGTTAACAGATTACTATTAGATGCATTAGCCACAATGGGAGCTGACACTTCCAGCGATAATTGGGACTCAAATTTAGAAGCAATCCAACAAGGGATTAACAGTACGAAGCATAAAACAACAGAGACTACTCCCGCCGAGATAATGTTGGGTATAAATCTCAGAAGTCAGGCTGACCGATATGTAGACGAAGAAAGTGACAACCCAGATGTGACCAAGTTAAGAGAAAAAGCAAAAAGAAATTTAGAAGCAAATGAAAAAATCCAGAGAAACATATTTAATAAGAAAAGAAAACCAGCAGAAACATTCGTGGTAGGAGATTTGGTTCTAGTAAGAATTTCAAGTGTTCCTTCTAACAATAGTCAAAGCAAGAAATTGTTAGAGAAGTACAAAGGGCCATTTAAAATTATAGAGGTTCTGCCTAATGACCGATATAAAGTTAAAGAAGATATCCATGCGAAGAGATCAAAAAATAATATAGCTTATGAAGGAGTATATTGTGTAGAAGACATTAAGATATTTAACCTTCGAAAATAAGAACAAGGTAAATATACAATTATTATGCTTTTGGTATAAAGGCCTCTAGCAACTTAAAATGTAGTAAAAGTTAAGATACACAAAAAGGGGCTGTAGGTATAAAGGCCTATAGCCATAGCAATTTAGAAACTGCAGGTATAAAGGCCTACAGTGATTTCAAGTTAGAAACTGCAGGTATAAAGGCCTACGGTGATTTCAAGTTAGAAACTGCAGGTATAAAGGCCTACAGTGGTTTCAAAGTTATTTCAATTAGTGCTGCAGGTATTAAGGCCTCAGTGAATAACAGATTTCAAGTATCATTGCTTGGACTACTATGTTCGTATATTAGAAACCCTTAAACATCACCCATTTTATTTGTTTTAGATAGTACATATGTTCGAGGACGAACAAACCGTAGGATGGCCGTATTAGCAACCCCGTAAGAGACGCCGCTGGAATATCTAGTACTATGACTCATTAGGCGATAAGTCGAAATCACCAGAAATTATATAAGCGTTTTATTTAGATATAGGGCATTATTGTGCGAATCATTATACAGTTTAGTCGAATATAATAAATAGTGAAGTTAACTAGTCGAGTTTAGTGTTACAACCCTCTCCTAACACATGTAAATACTTGAAATGAAACAACATGCTGTGCCAGCAAAGTAATTCAAGGGAATAATACTATCGAATTTAATGCAACAGTACGCGAAAAAATAAAAATAACTCATTAAAACTACTCCATTTGAGACACGTTTATGTTACGTGGTATTGGCTGAATCCCTTGATGTACATCTTACAATTGTTTTTTTACCGGTTGTTTCTATTTATCTATTTTTTTTTATTCTCTGTTGCCATTAGTTTTTCAAATGTCATTTTCTTTCTGCTCAGTTTTTCTATCTCTTGTCTTGTCACCACCAACTAATTTTAGAAGTGTTATTTTTCAGAATCTCTCAAAATATCAAAAAAGTGTCTTTTAATCCACTTATGTTTGCTTTCTATATGCCTAATGTGGTTAGTTTTGAATTCCTCAAAAAAAAATTTCCATCCAAATTTAAATTTTGTTTATTTCTTGATATTTCTAGTTTCTTGTTTGCTTATTCTACAATTTCCAACTCTTCAAAATTCCTCCATTCCTCTAAAAAATCACCTTAATGATTTTTTTATCTTATCTTGTTGCTAAGTCCAATTAGGTAATTTTATCTTATTTTAATGGTTTTCTTGATTGTTTTTTATTGGTAAGGTATACTGAATTGCATTGAAGATTAACGAAACAATATGCTATTAAGATTGATAGATTATGATATCAAGTAGAGACACAGAAAGATAAATACTGATAAAGATTTGAAGCAAAAAATATATAGGAATGCAAACACATAAGATATTAAAACATACTTAAAAGATACAAATTAAAAAGGGTATTCACCAAGAAGGTTTACACATTACTCACATGCGCAGATGGACACATGCGATAAGAATTCGTCAGTTGAATAAAAACAACAAAAATTTGCGAATTCTACTTTTAAATAAGTTAAAAGATACATTTTTAAAGATTGAGGTAGGGAGTTGTACAAAATGCTGATATATCTGTAAGAATCATAAAGTTCTGTTAATCTGTAATGAAGTAGAGATATATCATTTGCTCTAGTACAATAAGAATGTTTAGAGCTCTGTCTTTATAACATTGTTGTTACAAATTTGTTTCTTTGTGTATAAAAGACACTCAAAAATAAAGCTACTGCTATAACAGAAGGTGTCCGACTTTTCCTTCTCTTAAATACTTTTTTCATTTCTTGTTTTTATGAATTAAGGGCCGATTCCACTGGTGGGTTAAACGAGGTTTAAATTAATAAACGAAGATTAAAATGACATTGTTAATGTAAATATGTCATTTTAAATAGGATCGCGGTAATTGGACATCGGTGGTTCCTCTGTTAATAGTGATATGGAAGAGAGGTTCGAGGTTCTGAACCGAATTCCACTGAGTTAGCAAAATAAATACCTGGGTCGTAACACTTTCTATCTCGAGAGTAAGAGTTACGTTTCACTCTTGGCGCCCAACGTGGGGCAAGAACCCACGACCCTGAGATTAAGTCCCATGCTCTTTTAATTTATTTCTTGACTGTTTCACAACCAACCTTTTTGGGTAGTCTTATTTCATTCATTCTAATACATTTTTTGGTCATTCGAGCCCGACTACAAAGTCCCAAAAATAAAAATTAACGGTTATTTTAAACGCACGGAAATACAATTCAGAAAAATTCACTATGGTACAACAAATACACGAAATAAATTCAAAAAATGAAATCCGGGAAATAAAACTATATTAATCCTTTTCTCGAAAATTCGAACCAAAACGATAGAAAAACGGTTGAAATGCTTTTTGTGTTAATCCAAATTCGTCGAGAAACGCGTTATACGTACCTCGAATAATTTTAACAATTATTATTGTCGACAAACTGCATGTCAACATGATATTATTGACATCATTTACAATGCCACAATTTAGTAATATTGAACTGACGTGTGTAGTACTTTAACCGACGGTAAAATAAATTATATTTGGACATTAGAAGAATAAAGAGAGTAATTGGTTTAACCATGCCCTTTCGATTGCAAGGATGGGATACTGTAGTCCTCACTCAGCAATGTATTCTATTTCTTTCTATTCAATAGCATTCTTTTGGAGTCAGGATTGAAAAGGTAAAAAGGAGGACAAGCAGAAAAAAGGTATTTACGAGTTTATTAAAAAATATTACAAATACTTATTTACACAAAATAATTAAATCTTAATATCTAAGATGATTCATCGCCATCTTCACCCTCACTTTTACTATCTCGATCTTCGCTTCTTGTATCTTCTTTCTGTTCTACATCTTTGCTCGCTTCATCTTCTTGGTGGACTTGGCTATCCTCATTATCCCTTTCACTTTCGTTCTCCTTATTGTCAGTCTCGTTTTGCTTGTTTTTCCAGTTTTTGGCAGATGCCATCAATTTTTCCCGTACTCTTTGGCTACTAGTAGAAATCGCAGGTCTGCTTTCGATAGTTTCTTCAGTTTCATCTGCGGTTTTCTTCCAGTTCTTGGCTGCAGCAAGCAATTTCAAGTTGGGTCTACTGGCCTCGTCCTCTGGGAATATGTAGTCGAATACCTCTTCCCATCCTTGCTCAACACCATCTTCATCGATGACTTTCTGTCTCTTTTTGATCCTCCTCGGCATTTTGGCGTTAACTTTTTCCTTACTATCATCATCGCCATAAGCATTTTCAAATTCCCTCCAGTTTTCTAATAGCAACACTCTAGATTCTTTTTCTGGGAAATTTTTTAGGGTTTCATTAGATTTTTCGAAAATCCTTCTAGCAAGCTGTATATTCAGGTCATCGTCGGTTTGATTGTTCAATTCAAATTTGGCATAAGATAGCCATACTTTGACATGTGAAGTTCTTTCTAGCAGCCTTTCGTAGATTCTTCTCGCATTATTAGGTTCATCCTGGGAAATTTCGAAATCTATGTAAGCTTTCCACAACAATTCTGGCATGTCCAATCTGGTTTGGTTAATAGCTAGCTCGTATATACCTCTAGCTCTGTCTGCATCGCCTAGCAACGTTTCTAATTCCGCAAATTTCATCCAAGTGACGCAATTTTCCGGACCGAATTCTAAGAATTTTTCATAGAGCTTTCTGCATCTGTCAAATTCTCTAAGTTGTATTTCTATATCTATGTACCCTCGAAATAGCTTGTCTCTGGGACACATTCCTATAGACATGCCCAGGATCTTTCTGGCGGAGGTTAAATTTTTCTGGCGTATTTCGAATTGAGCAAAAAGCAGCCAAATCTTTGAGAAAGTGAATATTTTGTGAGGTAGAACTTCCAGACAAGCTTTGTAAACCTGTAACATACATAGATTACTATCTAGCACACAACGATAATCTGCTCTAACTGTATATGATAACAATAACACTCTCCCTATAAAATAAATATCTCTACAAATATATTAAAAATTGTGGCATACCTGTCGTGTTCTTTCATAATCTTTAGCTTCAAGTTCTTCAAATAAAGCATAGTTGATCCACAAATAGATGTATCTCCTCCAAAATTGTTTGTTTTTTGATGGAGGAATATTGGCTATGGCTCTCTCATATGTCTCCCTAGTAACATCAATGTCACCTTCGCCTTCTACTAATCTCAGATAATCAAACCAGGCATCATAGTTTGTAGGATTTTGTAAAATTTCCTGTTCATATTGCAATTTCCTCTTGGACATTATGACCTCTTCAATGCCTGTAAAGAAAATATACTTCATGAAATTCTATACTAATTGTATTATATAATTTCATAATTACCACTCCTGTCTCCATATTTCTTTTCGTGGATCGTGTAAGTCTTGTAAAGTTCCTTAGTTTGATCTTTTGGTATGTGATCCAAGGCATATTTGTATACAACTCGGGCTCTGTCGTGTTCTTTCTGGTTTTCTTCAAATTTAGCAAAAGCTATGTACAGCTTTTCGTCCATATAATCATCTCCATAAAACTGTACTGCTCGTTCGTAAATTTGTCTTGCAGAATGGATGAAGCCATGGTTTTCTTCAAAACGGGCATATTTGATCCAGTGTTTGACTTCTGGATGAGTTATGACAAATCTAAAAACAATTCAAATAGTTGATTTGCTGCAAATAAAATTGTGTATTCCTGTGTTTTACCAAAATATATGGTTAGATGCTAAGAAAAAATTATATAATAAAGAAAACCCTGAGAAATGTGGAAGACATTAGATTAGATTTGAAAGGAGTTGGCATTATTTGTACCGCGACCTTTTCAGATCTATTGCGGGACTGTTTTTTTAGAGTATGTCATTTAGCTTGGTCTTTTTATTAGACGCTTTGACACTGGCTCCCGCATGTAGTTCCATGCGTTTGGCTTTTCTTCGTCTAATGTTAGAAACCTCAATCTAGCCAGGCTTTCACACTGGCACAGGATGTGGAGTGATGTTTCGTCTTCTTCTTCTTCACAGAACCTGCACAATTTTGCTTCTCCTGCTGGATTGATGACTCATTTGTCTTTTTAGGCGACAGTGTCTGGTAAGATTTACTGTTATCCTAACGATTTGACATTTTTGACCGATGGTTCATTGATGAACTGTTAAGCCTATCTCAGTCTTGGATAGTTGTTACATCATTCCTTAGGCTCTTTTTGCATCGATTGTTTGATGGATGCCTTGCACAATGCCTTAGGAACTCCAGATTTGGCTTTGAAACCTATCATGGCCTTATCTGGCTAATTCGTCAGCCTTTTTGTTGCCTGATATCCATCATGGCTTGGCACCCAGGCTAGGGTTATCCTGTTTTGACTGCTTAGCGCTGCCAGGTATTCTAGACAGTCTTTCACCAGTCGTGATTTGATTACTGGTGAGAAAATTGCCTTTAGAGCTGCTTGGCATGTGGAAAACATTAAAAAATGTTCTTTATAATAAAAATAATACATGAAGCGTACTTCTCATATGGTTCCCTGTATATGCAACTGCATGGTTCCACGACATGAATGCTGACGTACTATGTTGCTACTTATAGCTTTACTACTGTACCTAAAAGATTAAAATTTTGTGTCTTTGGATGTAACAAAAAAGAAACAATACAAATTTACTGCATTACTTATGCAAATTGTAATGCAGTATCATACTATCATTACAGTTGTCATAAGTATAACGGGCTAGCCCGTTATAACTCCATTAACAACCAAAAACAGAGGTTGGTTACCACAGTATAGCATTACAGTATATCATAAAATCTTTTACAGCGTACAGCATAACTACTTTTTTACCATTACGTTAAAAAAAGTCATAGAGCAATCACATATTTTTATTTAAAAACTTAAAATAACCCATATCAAAGTTTTGGAGTGAGGTTAGCCATATGTGAGTAGTAGGGATTAAGTGTAAGGGGTTTTTTGCTTTCTCATTTCCCAGTTTAATATTTTTACTTTCAATAAATTTTGTCACCGCCACCTATACTCACTTTCAGTAAATAACACCTTTGTTAGTACACTATTTATCCGCTAAATTTAAAATTTACAGTTTACTACATTGATTCGTTAAAATCTAGACAGATGTCTTGAGAGTCTGATAATTTTTACTTTTTTACTTTTTACTTTCATTAATTGACGTTATATCCTTAAAAATTTTTAAACTGTTTGTGCTTGTAAAAACTATTTTGTGTTGTTTAGTTAATAATTGTCTTACATGTGTTTTAATTAATTTATTCAAACAGACATCTCGCGGTTTAACCTAACCTAAAATATTTTTTAAAAAAATACTATTGTATTACATATGACTTTTTTAACTCCTTTTGTTAAACTTTATGTAGCGCTTCCTTTATGGAAAGTTATTGTTTAACTTTCTTTTGTGTTTTTTCTGTTATTTTGTATATGTTAAAGTCCGTTCATGCTTTTATAATTGTTTTTTATTACAACTGACTCCTTGACATTCCATTTAGGTGTGCCTGATGATGAAGTGACAGCTTCGAAACCGGTCGCCAATTAAATTGACTTGTGAGAAATAAAGGACCTTTTCTTTAACCCCTTACACTTAATCATATCAAAGTTGGTTACTGACATCAATTATCAGTCAAATTCGCAAGTTTTTTTGAAAAATATTTCAAAAATTGCCTTTTGTTACGAAATGTGAAAAAATTATTGGAGAAAATTCATTCTAATGACATTTTACGCCTACGTACATATTTTAAATAGGCCCTAATACGTTTTTCCATACGTAAGATTAGAAAAAAATTCCCAACTTTATGGCACACACTGTACCTACGTACTTTTTTAATTACATGTTCCTAAATAGTTACTGACCATGGTATAAATAATAAAAGGTAGGATATCAACTGTGTTAAAAATAGGACGGCCACGCGCATGACGTCACGCGTAGAGTTTGTATAGGCGCAAATTTAAAAATAATGCTTACAGAAATTTCAGGAATATTAAAGGGTAGTATTTTAAAAAATATATATAAGTATATTATTATGGGAAAGAGTTATGAAGAAAAAAATTCAGATACATACATAACAGAAATATTTATTTTAGGTAAAAGTTTTTTCATTTTTCTTTTTATTGATTTATTTTTGTTGTGCAAATTCGAATGCAGGTTTTTAATTTTAAAGAACATTTTATTTCTAAAGAATAGTTTTTATAATCAGAATAATGAGGAAGTTATATTTGCAACTCGGAACTTCTGAACTGGGGACCCTGGGTAAAAATTTCGCATCTGGGGACGCCGGAAATATTTAACTGATTAGGATTCGCAACTGGTGACTCATTTACCTGCATTATATTATCCAATTGAATATATGTAACTACTTATGTTATGGAAAAGATTTGATTTATATATAAGTACGATACCAAAAATAGTTTTTAAAAACTATTTTTTATACTTATAATGCAGAAGATAAAAATAATGTAAAAAATGCAAATAATTGCTACATGGTGAGTGTATATACAAAATTAAAATAAAATGTCACTCTATTTTTCCTGGACATAGTCACTGACAGGTATTTAATTCTTCAATCAAGTACATGTGGATTTTTTTCTGCAACATATACAATTTCCTATAACAATTCCCTTTAAAAAAAAAAAATTTATGGAATATAACAATTTCATTACAGGATGGACGTGGTCCCCTGGGACCCCCACGGAAGTCGCCCTTTGGCCATTTTTGACTAACCTCTTACTGTCGAGGAAAGCAAAAACAACGTCCTCTTTAATTCATTTGCTTTAATTGTTACTGTTAGATCCGTTAATTGCGTACATCATTTTTTTTATGTTTTTCACTAATATCACAAAGAACAAAGTTTACAACATAATATAATACAAATATCCGCCTAAAATGTTATAAATCACTATAAACGACTTAAAAACTACTGCAATGTGCGTCTGTCATATGATATTTACTTCGCGCCAACTCTACGCATAACGTCAGCGCCGCCATGACAGCATGCGCGATATCCCCCCCTGGTTACTGACTATAATAAATTATTAATATTTATACAGCTATACAGGGTGTTTCATTAATATGTATAAATATTCTAACTGGAAAATTTTGAGCTCATAATATTAAGATTTGACCCAAATCACTTAAGACAAAATATTGCTTTTTACTAAATATTATTTAAATATTTAACACACTGCGTGCCACACTGTTATCGGGAAAGTAATATTTGTATGTATTTACTCAAAATAAAGGTTTTTTGATAATTCTGTTTTTTTTTTATTTCACTTTTTCTGTGTCTCTCATATATGGGCGAAGTGGCCCTGAAGCAAAAAAAGTTGTAATATATAACCTGGGGGCCTTGTCTCTCAAATATGATCGACGCAAGTTTTTTAGAATAAGCAATCCCAGAACAAATTTTGTTTCATTATTAGGAATAGGCTATTTCAGAATAAATTTTGTTTTTATTACACAAAATAGATATTTTTCAAACATTTGTCCTGGTAAATTTATTTTTCCAAATTTGCTCAAACCAAGACTAATATTACTTTCCCCAGAGGCCAAGCTTGGGATTCTCCATTTAAAATAAACGGTAGCGGGTATCACATTTGATATACATCGTCAGGAAGTGAGAGATGCGTGTCTCTCATAAATGAGCGACGAAGCTCCCAGCGGAATGTTTGTTTTCTCGCATATATGAGAGACGTGGCACGCAATGTGTTAAAAATGAATTTTGATTATTTTAATACTGAATGACATTTCTTTATGATATTTGAGACATCAAACTGAAAAATAAAAATTTTGTAAACCACTCTTATGACCCGAAAACAAAAGAAAAGAATGCTAAATGTACCATTCTTTAAATACGATGGAAATAAAAGATTCATTTCTTCAATTGGGCCAAAAGTTTACAACTCTTTAAGTGAAAATATCAGACAAATAAAAAACATAAAAACTTTTTCTAAAGCGATCAGAAAATTTATATTTGATAAATATTTATACCTCTCAAATTTGTTATAAATACCTAGTCTTATATATTTATGTCTTTAATCATCAAACGTTTAGTTTATAGGTATTATTAATTTTATGTAGCTTTAATCTACTTCTATTGCACATACAGATGTTTTTGCATCTAGGTGCATATTTTAAGAATAATTTCTCATTGTAAATTTATTTGATTTTGTATTATAAAATGTTTATTCTTCTTCTTAAATAAATAAATCAGAGTTTCTTGCAGTTACCAGAGGCATACGCAGGGACACAGGAAGAAATGTCTTTTCCTAAATTCTCTATCCTGACAAAATTAACTTTTTAGTATAATTTTTCGATTCTTCAGTACTTTCTATGTAAATTACATACTCTTTTTTCATAATTATAGTGATTATTTTTCCAGATTTTTAAAGTTAAACATAAGGCTGCACAATTATTTTGATTTTAATATTAATTAATAAGATGCAGTATTAAAATAATGATCAAAAATTCATTTTTAAATATTAAGTAAATAAAACAGCCTCCAACTCAGTAAGCAGCAATATTTTACCTAAGTAATTTGAGATAAATCTCATATTTTAAGCTAAAAATTTTCCAGTTTACACATATTAACACTTTGATGGACTTCTTGAAAAAGTTTATGTTGTGATGGCATGTTTTATTTTAAAAATATTTTAATGAAAGCTCTCAATTATAAAGGTTTCCTAAATATGTGAAAAAAATACATTAAACATGATTCATATTAATTTTTTTACACTGATCGGTGCTCTGTCACATCACAATATCTTTCTATCCTATAATAATAATCTACTTAACTCGACAGTAAAGCTCTTTTGCTTGAACATATCGTAAACAGTTGGTCTTGGACCACTACTACTTTAAATGAATAACTTAACACTGATCGACACTGTCACAAAGGTCCATTAAATATTTGACACCATATGTCATTCTGTGCTAATTTGCACAAACTGCTATGACGTCTATCGGTGTTACTGTCCATCAACATGCTAAAGAAACACCCCTCAACTAAATTCAAAATGTTTTTTTAAAGATTGTTACCTCTCATAAATTTGTCTTGCTCTATCAATTTCTTTATATCTCAGCTCGAAATTAATATAGGTCTGCCAAGCTTGCTCATCAGGTTGCCAATCCATCCATCTTTCAAATACGGCCCTAGCTCCTGCAACGTTTTCCAACATTTCTTCCATATAAGTGTATTTATACCAAAATTGATTTACCCTAGGCAAAAGCACAGTAGCCCTGTCCCATAAATTTCTTGCATGGTTTACCTACAAAAAAATATTCTACAATACAATACTTTATAACAAAAATATCATTTAAAAACTGTATTTACTTGTCTATTTCTCATTTCCATTTCGGTATATTTCAACCAAATGGTAATATTTCTGTGGTCAACATCAAGGGCTCTCTCCCATATTGACCTAGCCCTCTGTATCTCCTTTTGCGATTCCTCCCACTGGGCATATTTGATCCAATTTGAAATAACTGCTCTGTTCTTTCTGATGTTGTCTTCAAACTGCTTTCTCCTTCTTAATTGATAATCGGCCAATTCTGCTGGATCAGAAATTTTTTGCTTTGGAGGCGGAGGAAGGATTTCTAAATCTCTTTCTTTTGCTTCTCTGAGTAGCTGTTCTGCTGTGATTTGGATTTCAGCAGGTGCCTTATTTTTAACCTAGAACATTTATGAAGTTAATAACTTACTTTCAGTAATGGGTAAATAACTTACTTTGGCCACTTTGGGCATTTTTTGTCGCTTAGTAGGTTCTGGGTCCTCCATCATCACTGTGTAAAACTTATTTTATTTTTCAAAAAAAGTTTATCAAACAGCCCAACAAACAGGGTTATGTTTTGACGTTTGTTGACGTTTTAATTTTTTCTTCTTTTCTAAAATTACAATTGACAATGACAACTACCTACAAATGGCATGGAAAACGTGGCCGTTTGTTCGAATGAAGACCAGTGTCCAGTTACTCCTGTACCCAAAGACCATTCAATTCAAACATGTGTTTTGTCTTTGAGGTTATGTTATATTTCAAAAAGTGTTAAAAATTATCATTTTAAATAATTAATTAATTTACATCTACAAATAAATAATAAAATGGAGACTGAAAGCAAGCGGCTGTTATGCTGCTTCAAATCTGAAAACGGCGAAGTAGCCGGTGATATGATGGACCTTCCAATTGACTGCTCCTTACAACAACTTACATTAATATGCAATGCTCTTTTACAACAAGAAGAACCTGTCCCATTTTTATTTTACGTAAGTGACACTGAAATAACGAACACGTTAGAAAAGGCTTTAGATGTAACTAGTTTAAACACTGAAGGAGTAGTAGATATTATTTATCAACAACAAGCAGTTTTTAAAGTAAGACCTGTAACGAGATGTACAAGTTCCATACCTGGACATGCTGAAGCTGTTATTTCAGTTAGTTTTAGTCCAGATGGAAAACATTTAGCTAGTGGATCTGGGGACACAACTGTTAGGTTTTGGGACATAGCTACACAAACGCCTATGTTTACATGCGAGGGGCATAAAAACTGGGTTTTATGTATTGCTTGGTCTCCTGACAGTAGTAAACTGGCGTCTGCCTGTAAAGATGGTAAAATTAATATTTGGGATCCTTTCACTGGAAAACAATTGGGGAAAACTTTAACTGGTCATAAACAATGGATTACGAGTTTAAGCTGGGAACCTTATCACAAAAATACAGAGTGTAGGTAAGTTTCAAGTTATCATTGCATATTCCCAGTGTTTCTGGACATCCAACATATTTTATTTGTAGGTGTTTAGCGAGTTCTTCAAAAGATGGGGATGTGAGAATATGGGATACAATTTTAGGCAATACTATTTTATGTATAACAGGTCATACAAAATCTGTGACTATGGTAAAATGGGGTGGAAATGGTCTTATCTACTCAGCTTCACAAGACAGAACAGTTAAAGTTTGGAGAGCTAAAGATGGAATTTTATGTAGAACATTAGAAGGACATGCCCACTGGGTTAATACATTAGCTTTGAGTACAGACTATATTTTAAGGATAGGTATGAGATCATTTTAACACTACATGAAAATGTTTAATATGAATTTTTGCTTTTAGGAGCTTTTGATCCAGTAAAGGATTCAAATAAAGATACTTTAATGCCAGATAAGAAGAAATCACAAGACTTTGCTTTGAAAAGGTACTATGAAGTTACAGAAGCCCATGGTGAAAGATTGGTTTCAGGATCTGATGATTTCACTTTATTCCTATGGAGTCCAGAAAAGGATAAGAAACCACTGGCAAGATTAACAGGTAGAGAATTTTTTTTTTATTTTTCATCATAGTTTAATTTCAATATTTATTGTTTTAGGTCATCAGCAGTTAGTAAATGATGTGAAGTTCTCACCAGATGGTCGAATCTTAGCTTCAGCATCTTTTGACAAATCCATAAAACTATGGGAAGCAAAAACTGGCAAATTTATTTGTACATTACGTGGCCATGTACAGGCAGTCTATATGGTATCATTTTCTGCAGATTCAAGACTTATGGTTAGTGGCAGTGCAGATTCCACTCTTAAATTATGGAATATACAGGCAAAAAAGTTGGAAGTTGATCTTCCAGGACATGGGGATGAGGTGTATGCAGTTGACTGGTCTACAGATGGACTGAAAGTTGCATCTGGGGGAAAGGACAAGGTTCTAAGATTATGGCAGAATTGAAGTTTGATTCAGAAGCAACATTTTTTATATAAGATAATTTTGTTCATTGAATTTAAAAATAAAGAATTTAAATTAATACCCCAAATATCATTTAATTTTGCTGACGACACCGCAATTATTTATGAGAGCTCAGACTCAACACCATAAGAATTTCAGAACTTAAGACATGAAGAGAAATATCTTAATATCTAATTGGCTTTTACATAATTAAAATGTCCAATAATGAGTACTTTCAGATATAATCTTGCATGATAGTTTTAATTGTAACACCTTGTATTGAGTGTCAAGAAAAAATATTGACTTAGAAGCTGCTTTTGTGCATTTACAAGTTACAAAATAATAAATCGACTTATGTGCTTTTTTCCTCTGATTTTTGACCTCTTCATCTTTAGAACATACACTCAAAATCATGAATTACAATTACTTAATTCTAAAAATATACTGTTAGTAAATTAAAACATATAGCAAGTGAGTTAATATTTTGTGCTTTAAAAATCTAACGTATTTAGAAAATAGACATTTTATAGTCAAGTTCAATGGAAATACATCAGGTAAGTATGAAGCAAATTCTGGAATTCCACAGGCCCATTGTTGTTTATTTTATTTATAAATGATCTCCCTTCTTATATACAACACTCTAAATATTTATTTTTTGCCGACGATTTTAAAATGTATCAAAGCATAAAAACCGTTAGACTGTGTAGCGTTACAAAAAGATAATGCCATTTATAAGTGGAGTGAAAATAACAAGTTCAAATTTAACATTAAAAAATACTTCATACTTACAATTGACTGTAAGAAAGACTGATATTATATTTGACTATAAGATGGACCAACAAATTTTAACTAGACGATTCGAAATTAAAGATCTTGGTGTAAGCTACCACAATCAAATTTCGTTTGGTTCGCATATAAATAAAATTGCTCTTAGTGCTAACCGTACATTTGGGTTCATTATTAGACAAACTCAAGCTTTTTCTAATCTAAATACTATAAAATAGAAATATACTTTTTTCTACGAACTCTTACAAAAAGACATCTTTCGCCACAGGATACTTTCAGCGAAAACTTGATTTCCGTCACTAGTGAGAAAAAATCCCATAACGTTTACTTTCGTCTCTAGTGACGAAAGTAAGTTGTTACATATTTTCATATATCAGTCGCCTCGTATAATATTTTGGCAGCTTATAATTATTAATAATGAAATAAAAAGATGCTCATTAAATTCTATATGCGTTTTTACCTAAACTTTAATGAATTAAAGATAAAATAAAAATTTTGTTTATTTGAAGTTTTATCACTTTTGAGAACTGTCAGTTTCAGTTCGTCCTAAATTTAACACATTTTCATGATGTCTGAGTCAGAAAGCGATTGTACTCCCCCAGAAATTATTTTTAAAGCTGAAGAAACCTCTTCAGATTTATTACCGGCCAAATCAAAAAAGAGATATGAAGAAATTTATATAAAATTTTTGGACTGGAGAGAAAAAAAAGTGAAATCATTTTCGGAAACTGTACTACTAGCATACTTTGGAGAAATATGTTCAAATTTTAAACCGTCGACGTTATGGTCCATTTATTCGATGCTAAGAACTACACTCTCTGTTAAAAATGATGTCGATATTAGTAAATATCCAAAGTTACGTTCGTTTTTGAAAAGAAAATCTGATGGTTTTAAAAGCCAAAAATCCAAAATTTTTTCGCCTGAAGACATAAAGACTTTCCTAAAGAATGCACCTGACTATAAATATTTAATAACAAAGGTAACGGAATTATTATTTTTATTTTAACAAATACTTAATACATAACTACTAATATTTGTAGGTAGAATTAGTTTTTGGATTATCTGGCGCTTGTCGTTGCCACGAACTAAAAGATTTAACAATAAGCGATGTAAAGAATACTGGAAGTATTCTGTTAGTTAAAATCCGTAATACAAAAACAAAAGTTCCGCGTTCTTTTCATATTTCTGGACCCTTTTATGATATTTCTAAAAAATATATGAGCCTACGTCCCGCAAACATGGATCAAATTAATTCAAGATTCTTTATTAACTATCAGAATGGAAAGTGTAGCAGACAGGTTGTTGGAATTAATAAAATCAGTAAATTTCCTAACGAAATTGCTGTTTTTAACGCTTCCGAATCCTCAAGATTACACTGGGCACTGTTTCCGCAGAACATCCGCAACGCTATTAGTGGATGCAGGAGGTGACTTGCTTCTGTTAAAAAAGCACGGTGGTTGGAAATCTAGTAGTGTTGCGGAAGGATATGTTGATGAATCCACGAACAGTAAAAACCAAATACAAACCAAAATTTTACAATCTGTACAAAATAAGGAAACTACTAGTTCATCCGATTATGGCGCATCATCATCTGAAATGACATTTAACAGTAGAACAAATATGTCGGCATCTACCTCAATAAATAAAAAGCTTGAGAGTGATACCCCCATAATTTTGAACAATTGTTCAAATATAACAATAAATCAATATTTAAATAATAAATAATATTTCTGAAATATTTAATTGTTGGTTAATTTTTTGTTATTCCTAACACAAAATAAAGCATTTGCTAACGTTTGTTTTTTTTTTCATTTTAGTAGGTACCTACATGACATAACAGTACGTAGAAAAAGTATAGTGTTTTACTCGTCGAAAATAATTTTTTCGTCACTCGTGAAACAATATACTATTTAATTGAATGTTTAAACTTTTTTCCTGGTAGATTACGGATGTGAATTATTTAATGAAATGCCTATTGTTCGGGACTTGTTTATTCTAGTTCTCGTTTGGATTAGCTGATTTTTCCCTCTGGTATCGTATGTATGATTGTATGAGTGACATGTGAAGTTTCCCAAATTATTTTTTATGGCTAGCAAGTTTTCAAATACTATTTGCGAAGAGGGTCATTATGCTAAGTTGCTTAAATAGTGGTCGGCATGGTTCATAATAATTTACCCGCAGAATAGAGCGAATTGCTGATTTTTGCAAGATAAAACGTCTTTGTAGTGAAGTGAAGCTAGCATTTCCCCAAATTAGAATCCCATATCCCAATATCTCTACTACTCACTAGTTAGGACAAAATTAGAATATGCCTCGATTATTTAGGGTCAACAACCCCAAATTTACTTGGATAAATTGGAAAAAATTCAAAGCAAATTTCTTAGGTATCTTTATTATAAAAAATATCGTCGTTGGCCAGACTATAATTACGTACGAACAGCTATGTTACGACAAGAATTTGGAATATACTCGCTGATTAATAGACGGTAACAGTTTATGATGACATTTCTATACAAAATTTTAAATAACCAAGTAAACTCAAATGAATTACTGCTACTCATACCATTTAATGTTCCTCCTAGGTGCACTAGGTCTCCCTTTGTATAGGGAAAGTAAAAGTTGAAGTCTTTTGGTAGGTAGAAAGGGGGTAAACGTCAAACCACGTCAGGCGGCTCCGAGAATTTCACAGTAATGTTTACCTGCCAGTGTCGTTTCATAGAATAAGTAATTTTAAATTGTTATCGGCGGAACCGGACAATCGCATGTATTTATGGATTATAAATAATTATTAAACATGTATTATAATATTCAAATTATAATTTTACAAAATTTCAACAGCTATTCACAATTTATTAAACTATTTACTCGAAATTGTTATTAACATCTATAAAATAATTTTGTACGCCAATGTATCGCGTCCACTTCGGTAAGATCCGCTGCCAACCTGTCAATTTATGTGTATAAAGTGGGAGAACTGGCAAAAGCATTTCCAACTTTTACTTCTGTTCTATTCAGTATATCCAATAGTACCCTAAAATCTCCTCTTTCATTTGTATTTTGACTCGCAAATAATTTTAATTCTTTGTGTAACTTTGACTGGCATGAGTTACAAACCAATGTCAAAGAAATCTTAATGAGTACCTTAATGTTTTAAGTATTTAAATGTGTATGCTGTTTCTGCTGATTGTTGTGAAGCTTTGTAGTCTTGATATTCAAACCCATCCATACAAGTAAAAATGTAAAGTGCCATAATGACATATGTATGATTATATTGTATATGTATTATATATTGTACTACTCATATAAAAAGGCAGTAAGGCCTGTTTGAGTTTTAATATAAATAAATAAATAACAAAAAGAAAGTCATATTTTTATATAAACTATTTATTACTAGATGGAGGAAGTGACAGTTACTTTGTGTGTGTGGCTGTTGCACTCAAAAACACAGGTTGCTTAATGGATATTTAAAATAAATGGAAATTTTTTTATATTCAATGTAAATTACTTCAATACAAGTAATTAAATTAATCCTTCAGCATGTTTTAAGCTATGGTTTCCTAGACCTTTACTTGTCTTGAACATCTTCATACAAATATCACACAAGAACTTCTTCTCATTACTGTGTTTAGTCCTTTGATGCCTAAAGAGGGCAGCTGGTTGTCTAAAGGCCTTAGAGCACATATTGCAAGAATACGGCTTGGAATCTGTATGAATATACATGTGGTACTTCAAAGAATTTTTTACAGTAAATTTTTCACCACAAATATCACAACAAAACCTCTTAGTTTGCTCATGCACTATTTGTATATGCCTGTTGAGACTGGATTTAAAAGAAAATTGTTTATTACATGATTCGCAATTATATTCACCAGGTTGTTCTTTAGTTTTTCTTTCTCTTTTGTTTTTTTCTTTATTAATTGTTTGATCAAGCTGACTTGAATCTTGATTTTCATGAGCAGTATCTAAATGCAACTGCAGTGAAAACTTATCTACGTATTTTTTTCCACAATACTGGCATTGTTCACCAATAGATTCATTGTGAGTCAAGATGTGTTTATTAAGTTCCGCTGAATTTTTGAATGTAGTTTCGCAATTGTTACATTTGAGATGTCCGTCTATGGTTAACCTCGCCAAATTTTTTGATTCTATCTCAGTATCAGAGTCATGATAGAAAATTGCCTTTTTTCTTTTTTTAGACTCTTGTATCAAATCTTTATGTGTAGTTTCTAGGTGTACTTGATATTTATGTTCATCTATACTAATCCAATTGCAATACTGACATTTATTTTTATTTATTTCT